CATCCCTTAATGATGAAGAATTCCCTGCAGAATTCTTTGATTCAAAAATGGAGAAGTGATGGTGATTGAAGTAGCCCTACTTTAATAAAGAAATTTATTAAAGAAAAACTGTGGCTACTAGAAGACAGAAGATAAATCAAGAAAAGTCTCTATAATTGTGACTACTTCCTACCAATGGTCACAAGTGGCAGACAAAGATAAAAGATAAGGTATCCAATTTCAAAAGAAGTGGTCCACCCAACAAGAAGACAATGAAGAAATCGGTGGAGATAAGATGGCCTAGCTACCCAACAAAGAAAAGAGGAAGACACCTGTCCAAAATAAGATTCCAAAATCTCCTATAAAGGGAGGCATGAAGGAAGAAGGAGATCATCTCGAAATACCTTGAAATAACTTCTCTTAAAAAACACATTTAAGAGAAATCTTTTGTAATCTGATTACACTACTTGTATTCAGAAAAATATTAGATAGCTTGAAGATAGGAAAGCGTGTAATAAGGTAATCACTTATGGAGTTTTAAACTTCATAAGGTGAGTACCAAAGGTATGTAAATATAGTTTGTAAGCATGTACAATTTCAGTTTATGAATATCAAAGTAAAGTTTGTTATGTTCAACAAAGCTTTCATAAAAGGATTTCGTTAAGTTTCTTATGATTCCTCGGCAGTACAGATAGAGATTTTAAAAGATTTTCAAAACATTGATTTTGAATGGATGTTAGCCATGCCAAAGTACCCATCTTTGATGAATGGTTTAGGGGAAAAGGGCAGTTTTCTAACAAACAATTGTAGCACTTTGTGTGTGAGTTATCTTTTAAAATTCCGTTCCAAGTAGGAACTTGATTCTGAAAAGAGTTTGGATAGAGGTGAAAACAGAGACTCTGGATACTGTGAGATAGCGTCTGTGGAAACACGGCTAGTTCTCTAGAATAAGAAATGCAACCTTAATTGAAAAGCCTTTTGCGGAAGCAGTTGTGGACCCAAATGATTTCAAAAACATTTTAAATCTTTACTTGATTCGGAAGATTGATTAAGTACATGCAAAGCATCTATAAGAGCATACTGGAGGGAAAGCCTGTTTATTTCTACTTGATTACTGTAAGTTATTTACTTATCTTTACATGCTTATGCTTTAATTATCTTTGATGAGCAATTCACAAGCATCCACTTCTACTGTTAATAATGATAAAAATCTCATTTTATTTTTAGATGAAGAAGATGTTTCTTTTCTGCTTAAATTAGATGTAAAATCTGATGTGATATTCCCTATTGGTAAAGAAAAAATTGAAGAAATATATAGAGATATAGATTATAGTTGTAAGAATAATATAGGATTTGATTCTGTGAGAACTTATAAAGAAATAAGAAAAGTAGAAGATATTATAACTAAACATACGGATATACAAGAAGAAATCTCAGAAGGATTATTTAAAGGATATATAACCAAGAAAGGTCAACCTATAATCTTTGAAAAATTATTAAAATATAAAGAATATTTAAAAGTATTCAAAAGATTGAAAAATATAAATATAGGACCTGATTGACAATTTCTTAAAGATATAAAATAAATCTTATAAATAATTTTATTAAGGACAATATAGTACTTTTAATAAGAAAAGCTATTATGAAAAATAGGGAGAATCTACTTGCCATTTTCAAAATTGGCCCCAAAGATCTCAACCACCACTAGGGCCGCCCATCCGTCACTAGCTTCCTCCTCAAGACCCCTATTGGCGGCCTGGGTTTCGCCGGAGCCGCTTCTGTCCCCCTTCTCGCCCACCATGTAGCCACCAAGCTTCGATCTTTTAAGAGCTCTTCTTCTAAGCCCGTGAGGAGCTTCGCCTCTATGGCGAAAAAGAGTGTCGGAGACCTCACTGCCGCCGACCTCAAGGGTAAAAAGGTGTTTGTTAAAGCTGATTTGAATGTCCCACTCGATGATAATCAGAACATCACTGATGATACTAGGATTAGAGCTGCTGTTCCCACCATTAAGCACTTGATTAGCAATGGTGCCAAGGTTATTCTTTCAAGTCATTTGGTAAGTCGAAATCTATAATTTGATGAAGATTATAGTTTATATTATTGTATCTGATTGAATTTTTTCATGGATTTCTGCATTTTGGTGCATTATCCCGACTTTTTTTTCCTTACTGTTTAACTATGATTCACTGGAAGTGATCTAGTTAAACTCCCTACGATTCTGTTGCCTAAGATCAATTTCGGATTAGATTTCTAATGCAAGAGCATGCTTGAAATGGGATGGGTTTATTGTTGCCATTTTGAAATGACCCAATAAGGCCTTCGAAAGGTGTCATTCGAAGTGAGGCTGAAATGGAGTGGGCTTGAGATGGATTCCCAGACCCCATTCTAGGTGGTATAGGGTTGATTGCACCTCCCCCATGAGCTATTGCTTTTGGGCAAGGTGGTTGCATTGTCCTACATCAATTTCGCTCCGAGGTATAACAGTTGAATTATGCCTGGTTCTGAAATACTTAAAAATTATATTTATTGCTGCAAAGTTCTAATTGGGACATTAATCTGGAAATAATAAACCATTCAATCTCCTAATAAGCTAATATGTATAGGTTGGTTATGTTTTCTGTGTATGACGGTGGCTAATGTTTTCAAGTCCCATTTTCCATCATTGTTGATTTTCTAATTCTAGTTTTGGATCACTGTCTTGCAGTGCATCATTAATGTTGTTGTTTCTTTTCATTTTTTCCTCTTATTTGTTTGCAATTGGTAACAAATATTTCGTTGTTGTTTTTCTTTACTCTATATGCCAGCATAATTTCGATTGTACATGATTTCACCAGAAACTCTTGTTCTTTCCTGGCTTTTTCAGGGATGACCAAAAGGCGTCACTCCAAAACTTAGCCTTGCACCTCTCGTTCTTAGGCTATCTGAATTGTTTAGTGTCTCGGTATGTCTCAAAGTAAAAGTTGTGCGGTAAAGGAAAAAGAATATAAAAAGTGTCGTGGTATAATATTGTAATATGCCCCTATTTGGTGTGGATTAAAATCTAAGTCAAAGTCAATAATTAATTTAAACTACAGGTTTCAACAGATCTACAACTTTTCAACAACACATTTTACCCACTTTTGTCAAAATTGACTAAAAGCTGATTTTTATCTACACCTAACAGGGACTATATGATGTGATACAAATGCTACCAAAAGTAACTGATTTTGTTTTAACTTTTATCCCTTGGTGTATAATGAACAGGTTGTGAAGGCTGATGACTGCATTGGTCCAGAGGTTGAAAAGTTGGTTTCTTCACTACCTGAGGGCAGCGTTCTTCTTCTTGAGAACGTTAGGTTCTACAAAGAGGAAGAAAAGAACAAGCCTGAGTTTGCTAAGACTCTCGCATCATTGGCTGATATATATGTGAACGATGCATTTGGTACTGCACACAGAGCACATGCTTCTACTGAGGGAGTTGCAAAATTCTTGAAGCCCTCCGTTGCTGGTTTCCTTCTACAAAAGGTTAGATTTTCTTGATTAGACTATTACTGATTTATGCGAATGACTGAGCAATAGTATATCTGGTCTATAATATACCATTTTACTTCTAATTTGCTGCTTTAGGAGCTGGACTATCTTGTAGGGGCAGTTTCAAACCCTAAAAGGCCATTTGCGGCAATTGTCGGTGGTTCAAAGGTGCCCTCCAAGATTGGAGTGATTGAATCGCTTTTGGAGAAGTGTGATATCTTGCTTTTGGGCGGAGGAATGATCTTCACATTTTACACGGCACAAAGTCTTTCAGTTGGATCGTCCCTCGTGGAAGAAGACAAGCTGGATCTTGCAACATCCTTTGTCGAGAAGGCTAAAGCCAAAGGAGTTAGTCTCTTGTAACCTTCAGACGTGGTTGTGGCAGACAAGTTTGCTCCTGATGCGGATAGCAAGGTCTAGTGCTCGAGCTCGCTGCCAAAATTTTAAGTTGAAATTTAATTGCCTCCAGCAATATTTTATTGAACTATTGTTTCATAGAATTCTAGGCCTCTTGATTTTCTAATGAAAAGTTAACAGTTAAAGGCTAAATTGTTTGTTGGTTATTGCAGATTGTGCCGGCATTTGGCATCCCAGACGGCTGGATGGGGTTGGATATTGGACCAGATTCTATCAAGACATTTAATGATGCCTTGGAAACAAAAAAGACTGTTATTTGGAATGGACGAATGGGAGTGTTTGAATTTGATAAGTTTGCTGTTGGCACAGAGGTATGGAATACCTTAACTTTTTCATATTTTCGAGATGCCAGTCCACACAAATAGTATGTTCCTCAGATCTTGGTCTATTTTCATTGTGCTTCTTAAGCAATATAATCATTTCCATCATACAAGTTGACAATTCCATTATTTTTGAAAGATTGAGGTAGATGGAGCGTCTAAACTCAATTAAAAATGAAAGTTCAGTTTGCGATAAACACTAGAAGATTGTTGACTAACAGTGTTCATAACCGAATAGTTCAGTTTGCAGGCTGTTGCAAAGAAGCTAGCTGAACTTAGTGGGAAGGGAGTTACAACTATTATTGGAGGTGGAGATTCCGTTGCAGCTGTTGAGAAAGTTGGAGTTGCTGATGTGATGAGCCACATATCGACTGGTGGTGGTGCCAGTTTGGAGTTCTTGGAAGGCAAAGAGCTCCCCAGTGTCGTTGCCCTTGATGAAGCTGTTCCAGTTGCTGTGTAAGATTTATTATAGACTAGATTCTTATTCATTTAATTAACCCCATATCTATCTTGATGTCCACGTAAACTAGAAAAGTTTAGTATAAGAGGACGTTTTACCAATTTACCTTACTATTGATTTTATGGCTCGACCAGCCTTTTCTTGTTGAGAAATTTTGAGAACAAATAACGAAAAATTGAGGAAGAGGTGCCTGTTGAAATCTCAAAGTTTTTTGTTCTACTGTATCGAAAATAATGTAAGAAGTAAGAAATTCGATTGGTTATACTTGGTTTGGATGCAGAGTGTTTGACGGGGTAAAAAAGAGTAGTCATCACGAGAGTGTAAGCCCCGTTCGGTTAGTCCATCCTGGGATTGGACCAAGTGAATAACTGTGGATAGTCAGCCAAGACACTTCAGCAGGGTGGCTTTAGGGCTCCACACGTGTCTCAGCCCTTGCACAACGGCAAGAGTCACCGTGCTCAAGGTTACTCATTCCTGAGTCTGCATCTCGGCAGTTAGTGGCTCGGGGACTTCCCTGGGTCGGAGCCAAGCAAGAACTTGGTATCATGACCCATTCACTTCATCTCGTGGATATGGTGGAGTTTTATTCATCGTTTGTTATTTAAAGTGTATATTATTTTACTTAGCCACCGATGTGGGATTGTATAATTCCGTTGATGGGCCACAAATTTCAAGAACAGTCGGCCCAAGCCCGTGAATTAGAGTTGTAAGATTCCACGCAGGCATCCTAAACTTTTCTTTTAAAGGAGCCGGTTACAACTTACAACCTATTAAAAATCTGGCCGCATTCCAACAATTTCTTTCTATCGTTTACGTTTGGTTACCCTAATTATTCATTTTACTTAGCAACTAATTTAGACTTTAGCTTAATATTTAAAAAGTTTTTTTAGTTTAAAAGTTCTTCATTCATATAATATAAAACAAATTCTATAGATAAATGAACTTTTGAAAATCGATTCAAAAAATTTCTTCGTGGCGACATTTTGTAGATGCTAATATTTGAGGGGAATTATAAAATTATTAGTTAAAGCAAATCAATTTTTGATTAACTGTATATAAAAATATGCAAACGAAGCTAAATGTTAAAGAATAAAAAGTTCATTTAAATGGTTGAGAACAAATTTAATAGAGATGTTACAAGTTGAGGACTAATTCCAAACAACTAAAAAAATTTCCTTGTACAAAACTAAAACTTTAAATATAATTTTTCTAATTTTATTTGAAAAGACTTTTGAAATGTAAATTGTATTATTGAAAGTGACCTTCTTACTTCTTGAATCGATTCAAAATCAATTAAAAGTGACCGTTATTTTTATTTCTTCAAAATTGTCTTCCAAGTCCAGTCTTTTTCATGATTTTAAGGTGAAAATAAAAGATACAAATCCAGGATGGAAGATGGTTTTTCTAATTTTTTACTATATCGTATTCAAAAGGCACTGATTAAAAATTCAAACAACAGTTGAAGAGCAAAACCCATTTTCTTCGTGAGCTTCAAATGTGAGAAGGTGAGTCTTTTGCTGGCAAGTGGGGAATAGATAGAAGGGAAAAGTCAACTGTAAAAGAATCACATTCGAAAATAGCTGCGCTGCAAAACGATCGCGATGGGACTCGAACCCACAATCTCCCGCTCCGGAGGCGAGCGCCTTATCCATTAGGCCACGCGATCCTTCTGTGCGGTATTTGGCGTTTAATTAAAATTATAAAGTTTACTTCAAGTCCAAGCAATAAATCATCATAGTTTTTCAAGTTAAGGTTGTTGGTCACTCTTGCTTAATTTTAGTTTTAGTTTAAAAATCACTAAATTAATTGATTTTTAATTGGATAAATCTACTTGTACATAATTTTTTGTACATCAAGGTGTCCTCTACTCACATGAACGGGGTCCATTCAAATATTTTATTATGATGGACTCCACCTTATGTGAGTGGAGGATACCTTGATGTACAAAAAATTATGTACATTAGCAAAGTCGTTTTTAATTTGCTAAAGTAAGAGTTGAGATTAACATAAATCGATAATTACATACAAATTACATGAAATTGACTTTCTAATATTGACCGATTATGATTCCGCGAACATTAGTCTTTCTATTCTATTAGAGTGACCGAATGTAAAATCATAATAAACTCTATTAACTAGTAGCAGCAGCAGCTAAGAAAAGTGCTTTTGACTACCAATTTGAAGTTTCTTACAAATTTCAGGGATGATTGGTGAAATGAACAGTGAAAAATGTAACGCCGTTTGTGAAAGTTACCCTGAATAAAACCTCTTCGCTGCCACATAAGCCAGGCCCACTTTCGGATCTGAATATATCGTATTCGGGTCATTCAACGGGTTTCAGTAGCTGCATAAAACAAAAGGCGATCTTTAATTATTCTACAAGAAACCAGCAACAAAACCCCTCTATCTATCTGCTTCAACACTGCAATTGCAATCGCATTTCGTCGGAAAAGTTCTCCAAAGTACAGGAATCTCCTTATAACAATTTTCGTTAATCCCTTGAAATTGCGAAGGTTTTTTTTTTTTTTTTTTTTTGGAAACCAAAAAATGGGATTTTTCTTTTACGAAGTCTTTGCTGTCTTGATTTAAACTTGCGGTTGGTTCATTTCGTGTAGATCATAAGGGATGTAGGGCTGAACTTATATATTCATGTTTCTGAAACAAGTTCTTTTTGTTTTTCTGATGGATGGCCAGTGTGTCCAAATTGAAACTCTTTTAGGGCTCTGAGTTTTGTGTTTTCGGATAAATTTTTATCCATCTGAAATATTATTTAGCCCGAGTGTTTTTATTTTTTCTACTTGTATGTACACTCGAAATAAAATAGTTATAATGTATAACTTTTTCTTTCTTTTCAGTTCATTCTACAGGAGCTCAGTTAAAGTTTAATCTAGAAATCAATGGGTGACAGTCAGTATTCCTTCTCTCTCACCACTTTCAGGTATGCGTTCATCCACTGTATATATGTTCTAAATTTATTTCAATTTAAATTTTATACAGTTAAATTGCACTTATTTGACCCCTCTATTAAATTCTGTATATGTGTGTATGGATTATGATTTTTTATTGTTAATGGCACAGCCCCTCAGGAAAGCTTGTTCAGATTGAACATGCCTTAACTGCAGTTGGATCTGGTCAGACATCTTTAGGGATCAAAGGTAAATCTGGAACTTTTATTTCGATATTTTTTTATATTGTAAACCTTAATATGTAGGATTCGTATAACTAGACTGTTTAAAAAGGTTACTTGGGCCGTTGCTATGTTTTTCATGAGTAATGCACTAGAAATGTGTTGAAGATTTCAGCATATGATATATGTCTGTTGATGATGAACTTCCCTGCTTTCTGACCTTAAGTTCATTGTTTAAAGTTTTGATATGGTGGTTAATCCTCAATCCTCACCTGCCAAGTCTTATAAAGACGTAAGCTTACACTCTTTAGTGATTTAATAATGATGTCACTGGTATATTGGTCTCTATATGTGTATGCTGGGTTGTCAATGAATTGAAAAGTTTAAACGCATTTGTGAACAACAGCATTTCAGGCGAAGGATTGATATGCGGTGCTTTGTGGAGCGAAATAAAAGTTTTGCCTGTTGCTTCTCATTGAAAGTAGCATACCTTGGCTTTATGTGAAGAAAAATGACACTTTATTGAAAAAATCATCACTGCCGTATGAGTGTCTTTACGCGGTACTTACTTATATGCGGGTTTAATTGCAGCTGCTAATGGTGTTGTTATTGCAACGGAGAAGAAATTACCATCTATCTTGGTTGATGAAACATCGGTAAGTATATTTTACAGGTGCATTGGCAGCTTTTGAGTTCTAGTGGTTGCAATTACCACCCATTATTTATTTTAAATTCGTATGATGAGCTATATCTAAGTTCAGCATCCTTTTTGCCTCTATGATGTGGTAATGGTTATTCTATGCCAAGGCAGCCATGACAGTTATAACAATATAAACATGCGAAGTGTAAATACACCTTTTTCTGGGTATAGTCAAATAGAAAATACACACAAGAGTATTTCTTCAATGTGGATTTTCTCGACAAATGTGTCCATGTTTCATGGAGTTTCCTAGGTATAGTCAAATAAAGATCAATTTGATTGTATTCTTGCAAAAAGATGAGAGGCACTTGTGTTAGTTGATAACTTGACATGAATGATTTATGTTGTTTTTCCTTCTGGTGCAAATCTAGCCCCTTGCAAAATACTTTCGAATTTATGATATAAATTGGTTTGCAATTTTTCTTATCTGTTAGAGCATCTCTTTTTCTTCATTTATACATATTTTCAATGCCTTTGATGAACGCCCTTGTCCCCTTTTCTTCTTCCAGGTGCAAAAGATTCAGATTTTGACTCCGAATATTGGAGTTGTTTACAGGTTTAATACTAATTTATCTTGAAGCCGTTTTTTGTTAATGCTTAATTTCATAGGTTACCTTTGCCATTGCTATCCATTTAAGTACACAAAATGAACTAATCATTTTATTATAAGCATGTTAGGGTCATATGCTTTTAAAAGAATTCTTCAACTGTAGATTTATAGGCTGGGGATTTAGAGAAATATTTGATAGTACCAAGAGAGGCCTTAAATTTAAGATTCTCAGATTATTGAGAGCTCTATCCTTTGATAAATTCTACTGCTCAAACTCAAGTTTATAACTATCATGGGATCATATTATATCGCGTTATGTTTAGCCTCATTTACATGTAATAAACTTACCGAGTTATAAAATATTTTATGCTTGTATGCATTGCTTCTGTGCAGCTCATTGCAGAACTTAACCTGTTATATTTTCTCTTTGTGCAGTGGCATGGGCCCCGACTCTAGGGTGTTGGTTCGAAAAAGTAGGAAGCAGGCTGAGCAATATCACCGGCTTTATAAAGTATTTATATCTCTCTTGTATGATATAATTTTTTTCACTCTGCTTTTGTATATTTTAATATTAATTTTATGAGTATCTGTTTCATATTCTTATGCTATAGAATTTTCTATATCGTGATAGGAATTGATTGAGTCTTGAAATATGGCTGTAATGGTTGAAGTGGTGCTAAAATTTATTCTTTTATGCATCTTCAGTTCATTAATTTGTTGATCTAATAAAGCATCTCGAGTAATTCTTCTCCTGCACGTCTGCTTCTGAAGTAATCAAGTTTTTATGTTTCATCAGTTAATCCCAAACGCAAACTAATTTTACATCCGGCTAGTTCATGTTCGATCTGGACAACAAGGGTCTTTAAGGTTTTATGATATGGTGGTGAAGGTTATTTGTAAATTGGCTTGGGGATGTATGGAGTATGGAATAATTGAGTTCATTTTTATCTGAACATATTGAAAGCAGGAGTCACTGGATTAACTTTATCGTCTAGACTTCTATTTAGGTCCTATTACACAGTTTTATTTGACTATCCACATTCTAATACAGCTTTTCTTTCCCCTAGTTATATTGGCAGACATTAATATTTCCAGACACTTGCGTATTTTTTTTTTTTTGGTTGTTGGTGGGAGGGAGATTTGTAAAACCCATTTCCCTGAAATTCGTAGGGATCTTCGGACTTTTTTCCTCTCATCATTGAAAGCAGTTATTCAATTGCCTCTTCTTGAGCTTCTTTGTATGACTACACTTCTACTTGAATGATACTTGAGATTGTTACGAAGTGGAACTTTCTTAGCATGAACATATCACTTAATGCTGATCAGTTTTCTTGTGCATGTAATTTGTAGGAACCAATCCCTGTTACACAACTTGTGAGGGAGACTGCTGCTGTTATGCAGGAATTCACTCAATCAGGGTAGCTATATTTTATTGTTCCATTGTTTCACTTTCATTTTAATGAAGATAGTAGTGTTTGCTTCTGCAATTAATTTCAAGGCTTCCTTTTTTCTGATACCAGTGATATCATTATGAGGCTGATCACCTTATGGTAGCACTACTCTCTGGGCCATGATTTCCTTTTCCCCCTTTTGCCATCATTATGGGTGCTACTAATACCAGCCCAACAACTCATTCAGTCCTATTCTGTTTTTTTTTTCATAGATTCGATGGCTAAATTTTTAACGTGTGAAATGTATTTAGCTTGTAGGAGATTGGCTAAGGCGGCAAATAGAGTATTTGCAAATTGAAGATTTGGTTTGCCTGATTAGGATTTATTAGCTACGCTTTGCTAATGTTTCTTCTCCGTGACATTTCCAATAACCCCTGGCATCATGTCACATTTTTGTTGACGCATGATAACAAATTGGTCGAAGTAAATTATCTTTAGATAATTTTATTCACGTTCTATCTGAAAGAGTTAAAGTGGCTACTTGCTTTAGAAACAAGGTTCCTGGAAGAGAGAGCTGAATAATGACTATATGAATGGACAATCTGACCTCTGAACTTAACTATCACAGAGAGCAAAATTGGAGGACTATTAAATATGTTTCTTAATTAACCTTTCATGAAATTTTGAAATGACTTATTCGATATGTTTTTTCTATTATTATATCAGGCATAATTGCATAGCTTTTCTGATTCAATTCAATGCCTACTTTCTTACAGTGGTGTAAGGCCATTTGGTGTCTCTCTCCTGGTTGCGGGGTTTGATGACAAGGGACCACAACTATATCAGGTATGTCAGTCATTTCTTTTTGGCGTTATCCTTGTATTTCCTATTCCTTTTTCCTCACGGAACTCATTTCTAATTTTTTTATAAACTATTGCAGATTATGTGTTCTGCATTTTGGCATGAACTACTTCTCAAATTATGCTCTTAACTATTTTTTAAACACTGCATGTCTTAAAAACTATGCAGATATGATGTTTTGCATTTTTGGCATGAATTACTTACCTTTCAAATGTTCTTCTGCTTTGTGCGTGTTGAAACATCTATTAATGGACTGAAACCAAGGCACATTCTTTTCTTTCCCATGTTCTGCCCCATTAAAGGGTCTCCACTCTGAACTTTATTTATACAACCCTAAATATGTGTACTAGGATGAACACCTCTTTTTTTTTTTTTTAACACCTTTGTAGAACTTTCACTGTTTTGTTGGCTGAATGCTAAGCATGTAATCAAATCATTCTCTTATCTTTTTTCTGTAACTCCCCCCAATTACATGTTTGTTCTATAGGTGGATCCATCTGGTTCATACTTCTCTTGGAAGGCATCAGCCATGGGGAAGAATGTGTCCAATGCAAAGACTTTTTTGGAAAAGAGGTGGGTTGTTATTCATTTCTTTAGATTTGGTTTGGTAGGGTTTAACCATTGCCTTCTCTTCTCTTATGTCTGTTTTCATTTGACATTTTCTATGCACCAGATATATTAATCTCTTTGAGCAATTTTGAGCTGTAGAAGATGTCTACTAGCTTTTGTTCCTTAAAACATGGTCAATCTTGGCTTTCCAGCCATTGGTTAATGAACTCTTCTGTTGACTTCTCTTTTATACAGAAGTTGGTTGTTCTGAATTCATTTAAGGTGTTTTAAGATTGTAGAAATTTTTCATTTTTCAGAGAATTTGAGCATCGATCTCTCTTCGGGTTGGAAGATAAAATTGTGGCTGTTAAATAAAAGTCCTCCAGTCTCATCTTTTTGGATGAGCATGGTTTGTTGTTCAATATTTAGAAACATAAATAGAAAAAATCACATGGTTTGTGATACGTTCCACCCGATTATGCTAACCTATGTATTATTAACCAACTCCAAAAAGGGTAATTTTGTAAGTGACAAAAGTTAGTATTATTGTGGTGACCCGCATCCCTAACGATTTGAGTGTCACTTAGGCCCCGTTTGTTTCCCATTAATGTAAGAATGAGAATGAAAAAGATAGTTGTTACGAGTCCCACACAAGAGATAAAAATTCAAATATGGTAGCTTTGTGTGATAGATAATGATCATATTTTTCATTTTAATGGCCAAATAATGGGAAACGAATGGAGGCTAAATCATAAACTAAAACTAATTTAAAGAATATTCAACAAAATTATATAAATTATTAAAGCACTTACCAAAATCCAAATAATGGAATGAGTTTAATAAATTAACTTGAAATGAGAAATATCTTAAAATATTTTAAATCAAATGAAATAATAATAGTTTGACATTGTAATAATTTTATTATTGAAACTTTTGCCACTATAAGTCATCTCCGTGTTGACTGCCTCGAATCGTCAATTATCTGAAGAGTAGAGATATAATGGAGTAAGAATAATTCTCAATAAGCATGCATGGATAATGAATTCATATATGTACTTTTACAGAAAATTCATAACTTGCATAGGATGATATGAAAATTAGATCGAACTTATATGGTGCTAAATTTTCATTCGTAATGCTACTAAACTCATGTCCATTCTTAGTAAAACATTGCACCAAACATAACGTAGAAATATTATATACATAAACATTGGCTACCATAAACAAAAAGTACAACTTACTTTTTCACTGAACAATTCAAATGATAAAATAAGTTATTGTTGAAAAGATGTCCTTGGGCTGCATGTTGGGTTCATTATTCATGCGTAACGCTACTAGACTCCTAACTATTCTCAATAAAACATATGTAACATGGACCAAACATAACATAGCCGTATAAATATTATATACATAAACATTAGCCAACATAAACATAAAGTACAACTTTTTCACTGGACAATCAAAATGATAAAATGAGTTATTGTTGAAAAGAGATCCTTGAACCGCATGTTGTGTTGATTATTAACGTGTGATTGTATATGTGTAAGACTATATTTAATATAAATATGACAAGAAAAAGAGAGCAAATGGATAGACAAAGTTATAGAGGCAGAGAGCGTGTGTGTATAAATAGTTGTTGAAGGGTAGTTTAGTGTTGGGTTTGTCTTTTATTTATAGTGAAAATTCTTGATCATGTGAAGAAAAGTGAAAGGAAATGGCTAGATGCTAGACATTGTCAATACGTAAGTAGTGTATTGTCATGAAAATTGTCAAATTATTACCTTTAATCATGTGGTGAAATCAATTCACTTAGCTTAAAACTTGGTGTAAATAATGCATGTGATCAAATCAATTTCCTTTATTTACGTGGTCAAATCAATTATATTGGCTTGAAATGTAGCGTGAATAATGCATGTGGTCAATAAATCATCTTTAATCAAGACCAATGGCATGTTTATATAAGTTTTATGCATGATTTCATCTAACTTCCAATATAACTTTCTACTTAGGGTTCAAACTATTGGTCAATAACTAATAAGGTCATTAGACTAGACCAATAATCAATAAGGTCTTTCATAATAGCGCACTTAAGTCTTAAATTTAAATCTAACTAGTAGTAAAAATTTGGGATGTTAAAATTATGTATGGTATTATGACTTTTTATAGTGATTGGTAATCCAAGTTCAACTACCATTGATTTCTAGAACTGCTATAATCTTCTTATCACGTTTCCATTGATCAGGATTTATTTGGATACTTTTTGCAGGTACACTGATGATATGGAGCTTGATGATGCTGTGCACACTGCAATATTGACACTGAAGGAGGGGTAAGCACCTAAATTTTCCAATCTTTGCTTTCAGAAGCACTGTTTGCCCTTGAATTTTTTATTTTTGACGGAGATGTTGTGCCGGGTATTGAATCCATCAACTTCCTGTCTTTTGTTCTCATTTGAGAGAAAGTGACTGTAGTTGCACTTAAAGCTTGCTTTATACTATAAATTTAATAGGGTGAAAGAGAGCTTTTCAATTATATCCTAGGTTCATTTTAGAATTTTCGGTTTAGTTGGTTCTTCACAACAACCTGCTTTCTTGATTAAGATAAATTTGTATTGTTGCAACAGGCTTGACTATTTCTTTCTTCACCCCTGAAGACATGCATGTTGTTTATTCTGCAATTTTATCTTAGTATTCAAATTATTCATGATGATTACCCTTCATTCCAACCATCTCAGATTTGAAGGACAAATTTCTGGCAAAAACATCGAGATTGGCATAATTGGCAATGACAAGGTGTTCAGGCAAGTGTCTTCTTTTCTGAGTTGTTGAAGCTAAGTTCTAATTGATCATTGGGTAGTCGGTAATGGTAATTGCCTCTTTTGTTGCAGAGTTTTGACTCCTGCCGAAATCGATGATTACTTGCAGGAAGTGGAATAGTGTTAGTACCCCAGCTCAAGTTTTACCTTCTCGTTAAAATTCAGTGTTCGATTGTTGTGTGACTATTTGAGCTGCTACTGTTAAATCTTGTTCTAAATGATGTTATACAGCTATGTTGATTGTGAAACTTTGAATTAGAAATTTGAAGTACCATTTGTTCTTCTTGCAAGTAGCATAATGGTTAATCTTGGTTCGACGTTTATGGCAAACGCTTATTGGTATCATGTTGTGGTTCTCTTTTGGTCTTTTCCCTTTTATCCATCCATTTGTTCTCCTAGGAAGTAGCATAATGGTTAATCTTGGTTCGTCATATATGGCAAACGCTTATTGGAATCATGTTGTGGTTCTATTTTTTCTTTTTATCCATACATTTCGAGAAAAGTATTTGTTGGACCCTACTTTAAAAAACATTTGGCTTTCGAAAGTATTGGGACTTTGCTTAAAACATCTTGACAACCACACGTATTGGGCAAGGAAGTTGCAAGTTCATATCATGCCTTGCTTCATTCTCTTTACTGTTCCAGAAGTATTATGTTAGGATAATACTATTTGTACATAATTTTTTGTACATTGAAGTATCTATACACTTACATGGGTGGGGCTCACTTAAATAAAATATTCGAGTGGGTTCCACCTCATGTGAGTGTGGGATACCTCGATGTAAAAAAAATTATGTATACCAAGCAAAGCCCTATATTTTAACACAGTACTACTACAATTTTTTGTGACTAAATTAAAAAATATGCTTTTCCTAGAACCTAAGTTAAGTATTAGAATGGTAACTCATTTTCAATCAAAGCTTCATCCCTTTTTTTAAGATTGTCAATATATATTGAACGAAAACGAAAAATAAATGGCCAAGACACCCCAATTGTTAATTAGGCTATACATGTCTGTACATATGTACGGGCACAATAAGAAAATACTTAATGTATACTTTTTCCTCCAAAAGCTCTCGTAGCTCAGTTGGTTAGAGCACCCGTTTAGTAAGCGGGAGGTCTTGAGTTCGACTCTCAACGAGAGCAATCTTTCACGTAACTATTTTAGTTCAATATTTTCCACTCATTTTGAAGATGCAGTGGAAGCAAGTTATTTTTGAACTTGTTAAGTAACTTCTATACACCCATCTGAATCTCCACCTGCATTTGCATTTTTCAACAGTTAATTACCAAATCAATTCTAAATAAATACATTGTTCAAAATGTAAACGACTATTTTTTTTTTTTTTTAAAAGCTAAATCATTTTCCTTAATTCTTTTATTTGGAATACATGGATCTAAAACGAAGTTCTTGTTGGAAAGCAGACGTTAATCATTTTCTAATAGTGTTTACATAACCCAATCTTGGATTTCGTTAAACAATTTCTAACTGTGCTTACATAATAAAATTTTGTATTTCGTTAATCAATTTCTAATTGTGTTTACATAATCGATTTAGGGTTCTGTTTATTGTCATCATCCGTTGTATTGAAGATTTTTTTTATTTTTATCAGGATTCCGACTCGACTAATTTTAGATTATTGCATATTGATCCCAATATTAGAAGTGTTTAACAAGGGACAACACTGAGCTTTCTTAAGAGAAGGGATGAGATCAGCATCCCTTTCTATATATGTATCCAACAGCGGAGATACAATCTTCTGTTGGAAATTTGTGTCCACTTCGGTTTTCACGAGCGTTGACTTGGGTTTTCACGAGCGTTGGCGGGTTCTGGAGTATCTGTCAAGGGCTCTAGCGCATGCCCCGACAAAAAAAGCTCTTTTTCATTGAGATAAAGAGGTATCTGGCGAAAGCAAACTAAGATCTTTGGAAAACTAGTAGGGATATATGCAAGAACAAACCATTTTTATTGGAAACATTCCTCTAATGAATTCCTTGGGTTACTGAACAACTACTTCACAAAGGAAATGGAGAAGAAACAATAGAATATGAAGGTTTAAACACGTAATTGTTATCCTCAAATGATAATTACCCATTCTCGGATTGAATTTGGAGCTTAAAGGGTCTTTTGACAAATGTTTTGCAGGATTTACCATGACACGACCCATCCGAATCATCCTAGTAGATCGGACACGTGTCGCACGCCGATGGTAGATACCAATTAAACGTTGAACCCACTACCAAGGCAACTTGACTTGCTTGACTAGAAAATATTTTTAACAAAATTTTGACAGAATTTCCCTAAAATATGAACTAAAACCACCTGGACAATAACCAAGTTTCCTCAACTCAATACCTATAATATAAAATAGGGTACCCCAATACCTCAGAATACGAACGATTCAAATAAAATGTTGGCCATTCAATAATTACTTGCTTTACAACCAATAATCCTCAAATATACCAAATATGTCAAAGATGTAACGAGCTCATGAAAGTCATGATGGATTTTTCTGATTCAAGATACATGTACTCCAAAGGAACTCATACTTATAATATGATAAATGATGTCATACAACCTACGGAACGTGACTCAATTTGGTGGCTTAACAGGCTCCAAAACTGTTCAAATCGGCTGCTACATGACTGATAAAGAAAATTGTGAAAAAAAAAATATAATCTTAAAGCTCAGTGAGTGGATAATTTTCAATTAAGTAAACTTTTCTCATTTATACATATTTTCTGAAAATTCTTGCACTACTAAAACATCTACAAATTCTGAAATCTGGTAACACTTTTAAAATCAAACATGAATACATCATAAAATTCTTTGTTCTTCATTCTAAATAAGTAACTGTAAAATGTAACAAATATAAATAATAAGACATCCGTGAAAATCTATGAAATATTACTGCTGCTCAGTACTATAAGTTGAAAGCTTTAATTTGAGAACTGAATAGACTGAATTTTATAATTTGAAATCTGATAAGCTGTAGAAATACTGAAAATTACACTAAAAATGTATCCAATGAATAGCCTTACTCATGTACAGAGTAATCTCGATGTACAAGACAGAGCCATTCAAATTTGGTATTCTGATAATCTGGTCATACGTACGCAGAGCTGCCCCAAAGACTAATCACCCTAGTATACGGTCCAAAGCCTATGTCTGTACGAGAGTGGGTTCCAAAGACCTATGATAATCTAGTCATATACTATGGAAACACATTCACAATAGTGCAGAGCGGGTAAAATCACCATAACTAGTCATACACTATCGAAACACATTCACACCAGTGTAGACTGAGGTAAAATCATCTGGGTACTTTCTAGTGGTTTTTTAGAAAATAACTCTAAATATGTTGAACTGTTTAATACGAATGTAACATGCTAAGAAAATGATTTAAATGAACTGAATTAACTTAAAAACTAATTGATTATAAATCCACTTTATTTTAAAAATCATGTTGTCAAATTAACTGTATGAAATAATAAATTTTCTAATCTAACATAAATTTAATAAATATTAATTTTTGAAAAATAAGTTTTATATCCACTCACCAAGTCATAGTTGATCATTGTTTCGATTTTCTCGTCATCTCCTCATTTTCAATATCAAGAATGTTATCACGCTCGCGTTACAATAAATCATATCCCTTCATAGAGGAGTTTTGAGTATTTTCCTACCATTAGAAATATTAATTTACCAATGGGAGCTTGATATATTTTATTTCAACTTCATAATCCCAATTAAGGTCACTAACAACATATACTCCTTCATAAAAATTATTTTAACACCAAAACCTCAAATATTCAACACTTAATTTGGTTTCAATTCTAAAAATCCACCAAAATTAGATGATTGACAAAACTAGCACTATACTTCCAGAATATTGAAACTAGCACCAATGTCTATATATTAAAATCCATCATCGAAAACATGGACAGAAATAGCACTTTTCTGGACAGTTTTTCAAAATAGCACCTATACTACAATAGCTCGATAATGGCTGAAAAATTAAAGAATTTCAACCTCAAATCCTTAACCTAAATGTTTAGCATCATATAATCACATGAATTTCAAAGAATATGCCTTTATCTCACAAACCCATTTCCAACGTTTCCACTTTCTTCAACATCAATATCCAAATAAGCATTTATTTGCTATATCTTTATTTATAACATCAAATACATATCAATAACACATATTTCTTGGTGAACTTTGAATTAAAACAAATTGTCCATATCCCTTAAAAAATTTAATTCAATATACTTTATACTTACCATGCTAAATCAAAGAGAAGTTGAAGAACTTGAAAATCCTGGCTTGAAACTATCTTCTTTCTTCTTCTTCTTCTTCTACCTCGGGTTCTCTCGAGCCTTCTCCAATTTTCCCCCAAAATATAAGAAAATGGGTAAATAGATGATATTTAATGGATAGTTATTGAATAATTGCAAATCAAGTCCCTCCTTTTATGTTTTAAATAAAGTCTAGTCATTAGCTTTCCATTCTTGTAAAATAAATCCTCAATTTAAATAATGTTCATGTTAAATCCTCAAGGATTGTCAATTTGTAAAATAACCCCAATAAAATAATTTATTTCATTAAGGTTCTCATTTGACTTTGACTTTGAAAATTCAACTCTTAACTTTTGGCTAGATAAAATGGGTTGTAACATACCAAGTCTTGAAAAGGAATAAACACTTAAGCACTAGTGACTTTTCGGAAGGATCAGCTAAGTTTTCTATTGACTTGACATAATTTAGGAAAATTATTTCACTCTTGATTAATTTCGTTCCGTAGTTATGTCTAAAACTCATATGTCTAGACTTTTCATTATATACCTAGTTGTATACTTTTGCTAACGTGGTTTGACTATCACACATGATAGATATTAAAGATGTATTCTTTGGTCCCTAAGCTATCGTATAAAGTAGATCTTTAAGTCACTCAACTTCTTTTCCGACTTCTGATAATGCTACAAATTTAGATTCCATAGTTGAATGTATTATACATGTCCGTTTCTTTAATTTCCAAGAAACAGCACCTCCTTCAAAAGTAAACACCCAATTCAAAGTGGGTTTACTTTCATCCGTGCTAGATATCCAACTAGCATTGGTAAATCTCACAAATATAGTCGAGAATTTAGTATATTGTAGATCTAAATTATTGGTTTTCTTTAAATAACCAAGAACTCTACCAATGGCCTTCGCTCAGATTACTAGTAAACCTACTAAACTTACTAATTGCAAATGCTATCTCCGATCTTGTGCATTGAATTACATATATTAGACTCTCTATAGCACTTACATATTCCAGTTGAGCAACTAATTTTCCGTCTTTC